CTGGCAGTTTTTATGGACGGACAACTGCCAGATTAAGGCTCGTCAGACTAGCAGCAGCAAAGTGTTCATCTTAAAGTCTGAGAACGACCTTCGGGTTTTCAACTAAGTCGCGTGTCATCGATTCTAGGGACAATTCTCTCTCTCTCTCTCTTTTTCTAATTTTTTTTTGTCCTTGACGTGTACTTGTCAATCATGTCCTTTTCTGCTGAAGAATTTATTTCGTTTCTATCTGACAATCAACGCTCTCTAGTTCATTTCAATGCACGTAGCTTGCGAAGGAATCACGACAACATTAATAGTTTCATTCACTCTACCAGACACTCTTTTTCATTTATATGTATATCAGAAACCTGGCTTTCCGATGTGGATGCTAATCTATATGGTTTTACGTCGTACAAATCTGAATACTGTCATCGTGCATCTGACAACTATGGTGGCTCAGCCATTTTCATTTCTTCTGGCATTAATTATATTCGCAGATTGGACCTTCATATTACCATCCCCTATTGCGAATCAGTTTGGATAGAAATTGAACAGCCACAGGTTACTCATAATCAAAAAAATTTAATACTCGCTTGCATCTATCGCTCACCTTCCTCCTCATTTATCCAGTTCTTATCGGCTCTTGAGACTGTCCTGAACACTCTATCAATGGAGAACAAAAATGTATTGTTGGTAGGCGATATCAACATTAACTATTAGATTCTCATTCAAGAACTACAAGTGCCTATAATGATTGCCTTCTAGGGTACGGGTTAACGTGCCTCATCGATTCGTACACTAGATCCAACCCACGTGGCTCTAACACTCTTTTGGATCATGCTTTTTGTAACTTTAATCCTAGAGTGTCCGGGGTGGTTGATGTCGATATTACCGATCATTATCCCATCTTCATCACATTTGATAGCCCTATAACTCAAATCAACACAATTTTTACTGCACTGCGATTTGACAAAGACAATTTCATCAGTGCAATTTCAAACTGTGACTGGTCCAAAGTTAGCTCGCAGGCTGATCCACAATCAGCGGTTGATACATTTTCTTCTTTATTCTCAGAAGCTGTTTCTTCTAGTACTCACACTATTGCTTATAACAAGAAATACCAAGAGCCTCAAAGCCCTTGGATGACATTTGCCTTATTAACCAGTCTCAGAAAGAAGGATAACCTCTATAGGAAAGTTAAGAGACAACCCTTTAATATCGCCTTGGCACTTCGCTATAAAAGTTACTGTAATACTCTTAACTCTTTGCTAAAACTTGCCAAGGAACGCTATTATAATGAGGAATTTATAAAGAACAAAAATAATCATAAAAAACAGTGGAAACTGCTCAATGAATTCTTGAATTCGCCTACAATTAACTCGCCCATAACGAAAATCACTCACCATAACGCTACTTATTGTCACTCTGACGACATTGCTAATGCGTTTTCTGAGTATTTTTGTTCGTCATCCAATTCCTCAAAAAATGTTCCTTCACCTAGTTTGCCGCGCTTACCTCACTCATTTTTTCTCTTTCCCTCTTCCTCTGACGAAATAGTATCAGCTATTCGTAATCTTAAAAATACTTCTCCCGGTCTGGATAACATTTGTGCACACCATTTAAAGATGGTGGCTCATATAATTTCTCAGCCCTTAACCCATATAATCATCTCATTTTTTCTAAAGGTTCTTTCCTGACTCATTAAAACGTGCAAAAATTATACCAATTTTCAAGAAGGCGATAAAGATGATATTAAAATTATAGGCCTATCTCTATTCTTCCATCATTAAGTAAACTAATTGAACAACTGTTTGTAAAGCGTCTTAGTTCTTACCTTTCGAAATTTAATGTTATAAAACCTTCCCAGTTTGGTTTTCGTCATGGAAGCTCCACTAACCTTGCTCTGCTTTCTTTGACAGACTTCATCAAACATTCCATTGATACTGGTAACTTCTCGGGTTCAGTCTTTTTGGATTTAACTAAAGCCTTTGACACGCTCAATCACTCCATTCTTTTCAATAAGTTAGATTCTTATGGTATTACTGGACCAGCTTTAAATTTTCTGAAAAGTTACCTGTTTAACCGAAAAAATGTGGTCTTTACAGGTGGCTCTTACTCTAACATTAAGATTACCAATCAAGGTGTTCCGCAGGGGTCCATTCTTGGCCCCCTCCTATTCATTATTTATATTAATGATCTCCCTGACGTCATTTGCTCTGCACATTGTGTTTTGTACGCTGACGACACCACAGTATCATGTAAGGCCAAAACAGTTCCATCTTTAATATCAAAACTAAACTCTGTACTCAGCGATGTAGTTTTATGGTGCAACAACAATGATCTAACGATAAAACCCCTCTAAAACTCAGTTCATGGTTTTCAGGTCTGCTCATAAACATTTGTTAACTTCTGCTGCTATAACTATGGGTCCTAATACTATCCATGCTTGTGATACTGTTTCTTTTCCTCGGTGTACGTTTAGACATAACCCTTAATTTTGGTCTACACTTATTAGACATAAAGAAAAAGACTGCTTTTGGTATTCGTGCATTGATTAAAGCTAGGCCATATTTTTCCACTAATGCATTACTATCGCTCTACTTCTCATTATTCATAGTCATTTAACTATGGCATAATTACCTGGGCCAACATCTATCACTCGTACATCTCATCTGTACAACATATACAGAACCAAGCAATCCGCATTATCACTTTCAGCCCTCGTCGTTCGAACGCTATTTCTTTGCTTAGACAATACAATATTCTGAGTATTAGTAGTTATTTGAATTTCATTGTACTTGTTTGGTTCTTTAATATAATTCACCGTCGGCTACCCTTCGACCCTCATCAACGTGACTTATTGATTAACACTAACCGCACTCGCTTCGCATTGGAGCGAATTTATTACTACCCCGAGTTTGCACTAATTACGGCATAAAGTCTTTGTCATTCACAGCTATTTCATTATGGAACTCTATTCCACCAAATATAAAGTCTCTATCCAACTTGTATACATTCAAAAAAAACTTGAAATTATATCTTCTATCACTATAAATTATTCTATGTTGTCCTTTTTGCATTTTGACTTAGCGATTGTATTTGTTGAAGTTGTGATTATTACTATGTTTTATCGCTTCGTTATTTTTCTATAGTTGCTTTATAGCATTGTTTTGTTAATATTACATTGTCTTGCCATTTGCCCTTGCACTTGTTTACATGCTTTCTTCATCGTGGGTCCCCCTACAGTCTTCGGACTATGGGACCCTAGTCTGTAAAACGTCTTCTTCATTTTATGTATCGCCAGTCTGTTAATAATAATAAACTTCAAACTTCAAACTTCAAACTTCATGACACATCGGCCTTTTCGGCCTTTTGACACATGGCTAGTATGTCTTAAATATAGGTGAAGCTTTGCTTGGTGGATGCCTCTGTACGTAAGGACAATTGCTTCAGAGCATCAAGCTGCTGGCCAAATGGTTTGCTAAAAAGCTGGCAGAGCTGTTTAAACATTTCTCAGCTTGTGGATTCTTAGCTGGTGGATCTCAACCCAGGTGCGAGGTGTCTTGTCAAGAGAGAATAAGACATTCGAGAGCATAACAGTAGGGTCCCAGCCATATTGCTTGCTGACACGCTCTTACATAAATACTGAGCTACTTTTCGATACTCGCGTTGTTCTTTTCAGTAAAATTACCGGGATCACGGGGTGCGTTAAGGTGACGTACCGGGTTCCTGTCGTTGCCGAGGTAGGTGGCGAAGGTGGCAGACTTAAGGAGGTGTCCGCTGCACAGCCCCTCGTCAAAAGAAGCACCCGTCTTCACCACCAAAATGTTTTGTGGAAATAACGGCAGACAGTTCGTACCAACAACACAGCTCACATAAACTGTCAACATCTTGACTCATAGTCTGAGACGCGTTTCTGAATATATCCTATCATGCCCTGTTACCTTCAGCGAAAACAACGTAAAAATGTTATCAACCACATACCAATATCGCAACATATTTGTAAGCCACACCGTTGTTAGGAAACTAAGGATCACATTCGGCCATTCCCGTCAAGGGCTATAGCCCTCACTCAAAGCTACTGTTCTTGAATTTCGATATTATCAAAACTCCGCCGTTTAGTAAATGTAAACTGAGCACTTGAACTTGCTCTACGACATCCTGCGTGCTAAGCAACAGTAGGAGGAAACAATAAAGCTTTGAGGGCTGATACATCGAATATTAAAGCGGTACACTATTTTTCACGGCGAAATCACACAAATGGCTTCCATCGAAGCAAAAACATACGCCATGCAGAGAAATTAGATAGTTACAGCCTCATCTCTGAACCACTAAATATTTATTTCAATGTTTTGGTTCGGACCCACTGACCCAATTGGTAACTTTTCTTCCTCTTTCTTTTCATTTTGGCGAGGATCAATATAGTATTGTAAAGGAAATAAGAGTTCGGTCCTTTATGCTCTCCTTGGTTTAATTGTTTGTCGGTTTCATTACTTCACTATACGCGAAAGTAGGACCCCAGAACAATTCCTCTATTTCCTTATTTGCAAATTGATAACGTAACAGCTTTTGTAAGGCACCAATGAAAACAGTCACGGGGCTGTTGCCCCTGGTGTAGCAATGCAAGTCTCCTACAGCGAAGACTGAGTGATGTTACATAATGTTGATTGAGAGAGAGAAAACGCAGGTTTTGCACCGACTTTTAGTTAAAAGTTGGGTTAATATCTGTAATATTCGCAGTGGCTGGCATGAATAGTGGCCTTTCTTTGCGTCCATTTCCCGAATCTATTTGCTCATGAGCGTAAAGAAGACATACCCACGCGCACTGTTTCATGTATTCGCCGCACGAAGAACGGCGCATTGTTTCTGGTGAAGTCAATCGTTTATAAAGGCAGCTGCTAGCATGATCACTTTAGCAATATCCGTTACTCCAGTATGTCGTAGCACAAGGGTAAGCGAGAACACACTTCTGTGCATGCTGTTCTTGTGGTATTTCATGTCCAGAATACCATTTATTAGGTATACAGCTATATTTACTTTCTCAAATAAAAAATTTACTAGAACGAGAATAAAATATTTTGTAGTCAATGGCTTTCAAACATCGTACATTTGTTTTCTTTGTTTATTTATGCCTAAATTGAACAATAGTGTGCTCTCAAGCTACGTGCTTACTATTGATAGCGCAATATTTTCATGTTACCAAAACACTTGTTTCACAGAATACATTCCTTGTCTCGTGAGATACCTCAGCAGCCGCTTGTCTAAAGGGTAGGTCACTGGCATTACTCAAGCTTCTTCCACAGCTTCATGATGTCACTCTTGCCTCCAGTCAGAGCCCTGACACGTTCTTCCAGCTTAGCCACCATGTCTGGCTTGAATATGTCTTCTCGAGTCGAGACGAGCCTCGCCTGGTGCCAACTTCTTGCAGAATAGCCTTCCAAAAGTGACAGTGCTCGCTGCTCTCTCCAACCGCTTCACCCACTCCGGTTTACCTTCGTCAGGACATGGCTGGCAGCCTCCCTCATCTTCAACTTCGTGTCTTCTTCGACACGCTCCCAGATGCCTTCGTATTGCGTCTCCGCGCAGATTTTGTTCAAAAGTTTCCTGCTCTGCCTCAACCTTTGGCCATATTGGCCGTCTTCGTCCAGAAAGTCGGCGATTCTCAGTACGGTTGTCATAATGTCGTCTTGCAGCTCATCGTACGTGAGAAATAGGACGTTGTCATTGTACCTCTTTTTGTACCAGGACACCAGGTTGGCAAGGTAATCGCCGCAGATGGCCCGGCCCTCGACGAACTCGTCGAAGAACGAAGGGAACGCCTTGAACGCCTCGTCAATATTTTTCCCCTGGGCGCTCGATATCACTTCGAAAAAGAACGCACTGCAGTCGTACGGATTTCTTGCTACGTAGATGTACTTGGCGTAGTCTGCGTGAGGAACCAAGTGGAAAGGAAGGTGGGTGCGCACGCTTCCGGGTCTGGGCATGGCGAGGACAGCACTGGCACCCTGAAAAGAATTGAGAAAATAACAGTTTACGTTATAAAGTGTGCTATAACACATGTTTTTTCACAACTTTGTGAATATTCTGTACATCCCAGCATTTCAGATAAGCATTCGCGAAATTTGGTTTCCAAACTATACAAAGCATAACTCAATGGAACATCTGTAGTACCAAAAGCGTCCTAAGAAGAGATAAAAGGGCTGGTAGAAATTTTAGTTTTACAAATGAAGCTGCAGCTTCGCCAGAGTGTTGTAAAGATTTTGTAAAGGAAAACGTGTCTGAAACGAGACATGGATCTCCGCATAACTCCAGTGAGCCCGGGATAATCACCTGTGATTTCATCGCTCATTTTCTCTCAGTGTGACTTTTTGCTATATATAGGTTAGTAACACGTGTTCGATGTTCGCTAAGTGCACTAGCAAGACATGTATTTTGCTATTTCCATGCCACCATGCAAGATGCATTGTATATGTTGAATATTTTCTTGCATTTTCTTAACTGTTGTATTGCAGAGATGTCGAAAGTAGCCTTGGTCCACATTATTGGGAAAAAGGAAGTGCCAGCGATGTTAAAAGAACCAAAAGCCAACCCGGGTAGGCAAGCCGAGGTACAAGTTGAAACGTTGACCGATATCGCAACAGCGCATTGAAGAAAAACTTGTTTCAATGAAGACGCAAGTATTGAAGATAGAGGCTGTTATGCCTGCGAGTCCACAGCGAACGTCCGTGCCTCTGAAAAAGGCAATCTGTGTCAAGGCCAGCCCGCGAGCCTGCCTGACGCGAACAACTCAACGGCGTCATCACGCGGCGGTTGCCTTTCTGCCGCGCACGCACAGTGAGTCACCTCAGCCAGCGAGCCCGTCGAAGCAATCGGCGACTTCCTGTCTGGCGAGTCTGACGCAATGCGTGGCGACGTCACTCGTTCTTGGGTGCAGCTACGTGCAGCGCAGCGGCTCCAGCTTCAATGAGAATGACGCGGCCCAGCAGCGACACCATTAGAGGATTCTGACCCCACGACCACCGGTGCTTCTGGTTGGACATTTGGTTACTCAAAGAATCCAGCCCTGCGTCGCGTCGCGAGCAGCAGACCTAATGTGGTAGAGAAGAGAGCTCGGCTCTTCGGGTCTCTAAGCTGTCGGCCCCGTGCCGAATTTGTAACGCCTCTGTAAATATGCTGTACATAAACCTTGTTTAACTCACCGTCGTCTCGTACGCTCGTCTATCAGCTCTGCGCAGAAGCAGTCGCGAGCTGAGAAACCTACGCTACCAAACGGCTGGTGACCGTGTCGGCGGAGGTCGGAGCAGTGGCGCCTTCAAAACCGTATTGGCGTCGCCGTCTTTCGTAACAAGGCCCAATGTTAAAACGGACGCATTAAAATAACAACTCTACCTAGTTAAAGAGGCCTTGAAAACCTTTGAACACAGAAGCAGTGTCACAAGTTCACACCTTGATGACATCGACTACATGGCGCGTCAAAATAACCTAATATTTCTTGGTGTCCCGGACGGCGAGGATTCGGGGATAATGGCTGGGAAAGAAAGTTTAAGCCTATTGACGCAACGTGTTGAAACAAACCTAGCTGATGATGTAATTGAGTGTGCACACGTACTGGGTGGCAGAGACCAAGAAAACAAAAGTAGGCCTCTCATTGTCAAGCTTAGTTATTTTAAGCTTCGGCAACAAGATTTTTCTATGCGAGCAAACTGGAAAGGTATCAATACTAACCTCACTAAAGATTTTTTACTACCCACATAAGTTGGGCGAAACAAACTGTGATTTTGCAAACCCACTGCCCCAGTAACCACTCGATTTGGCATAACAAAGTACATGTAGGTAACACTTGTTATGTTTATTGCCTTGCTATTCATGTTATTTTATATAAAGAGGCAAATGTGTAAGACTACAGCACCAATCTCAAACAACAGCGTCATCCAGGATAAGCCAGTCGCAATGAGCCGGCTTTCAGTACACATGCTGCTGCACAACGCTGTGTACAATGTATGTGCACAGTGCATAGTACGTTGTGCATTGTACAATATACAATGCACACTGCAAGTACACAATGAACATACTGCTCCTTCCAATCATTCTCAAAAGCAACAATTATCTGGAGGTAAGGATGATCTTGCGTGTACTGTTTTTGAAGTGCCGGTATATTTACTAACACAATGAGCGTTAAGAAACACCGGATGAACCTTGATTTTATTGTTTCGTCAATGGAGGCCAGTGTATAAACATTGTCTGGGACATGGCTCAGCACAACTGTGCAAAATACGTAAATTTTTCAGTGACGTCTCTTATGACACATATCGCTGCAACAGCGAATGTAGAAAGGGCATGGAGTAGTGATCACTATATGTCAAACAAGACAAACATATCATTGGTTACCGCAATGCTGATTTCGACGCCCTTATTCAAGCACTTTGTGCGTAGCTAGACACTTCGTGTTGCAAATTTTATGAGTGAAGTGTACAAAAAACTGGCATCTTTTCAGAAACCTATTTTCTGCTCTCGCTAATGCGCACTTTCCCCTACGATGTATACGGGAAAACCCATAAAAAGCCACCGTAAATCTTGCACCTGCAACGATTGTCTATTAAAAAGAGCTCCTTTCCTGCTCAGAAGTTACAAAATATTACAGGTAGTGCGAAGCGTATCACAATGTTTATGCAGAATACACGGAGGCTCTATTGGCTGCTAAGAATCACGGAAAATCCCATACGTTGCCTAAGGTTTTGTGAAGCAGTCCTTGGAAATTTAGAACCTGATCAATTGCAAACAAAATTCGAATTTAGCAATCTACAATAGACCTGGAGAGACGCTAGTGAAGAATATTTCTCGACAAAGTTTCCGGAAACCACTGCTGCTCCTGCTGACGCAGTTGTGTCTGGTGACTACTGCGTAATGTTTGGTAACACTTCTCATTCTGCCGTATTTGTCAAGGTATTTAACATTTCAAAAGCGTCCTCATCATATGACACTGACAATTTCAACTTAGTTTTTCAAACAGACACGCGCATACTTCTCTTTCTTTTAACACAAAAGTGTTTATGATGGGGTCCACCAAGATTTCAGTGACGTACTTTTGTCTCGGAAATGATAAATAATTTTCAGAAGGAAAACGGTTGCGTCAATGGGAGTCGAAGTCAAAACTTCTCGGTCCGTGAAACAGCTCCCGGGCACGCTATCCACTGCGCCGAAGTCACATATTTTGTGGGCTTTAAAACGCGCGTTTTGTATCTACCATTGCTCTCTCACAGTGCTTTAGGTAATGTATAAAATGTATCATGAACATAGAATGCATGAGTATTTTTTCAACGCATTGTTTCTATACGTCCGTCCTATTCAGTGCATTAGGGATAAGAGATGTGAAATATTGTCAGCGCCTTCACACGCTGCTGCCAGGTGGCGACCTCACCAAAAATGTCGGCGTCGTACATAGCATCGATTCATACTAAAAATAATTCTACAGTGGGTAGAGCAAGCAACGTGCTTTCTTTGCCTGACGAAACTGCGCATGCACTGCTTACGATCGCCATGCGAGAACTAAAAGCTCGGCACGAGAGAAGACACAACGAGCGTTGCGTTTCCCTCTAATCGGGTGGTTCCATCAAGTAACACCGATGCCGCAGTAGGCGACCTTTGCCGAAGATTAGCGTACAATAAGTCACGCTTTTCTGGTTGCCAGACCACTTTCGTGGTTGCTCTCACAACGCTAACTACTAAAGCTACCACAGGCACGGCTACTGGATAAAAAAGAAGGGGCAGCCTATTGCGTCTCGTCAATGGGCGAGAGCGTCTCCAGTCAGTTGACAGCTGCGCCCGCTTTTACGGTGTAGAGGTGGAAACACCGGCGTTTTTGCGAGTTGTAATTGATACCTGCCGAGTTTGCAAGTTTCTATGATGCTTGTACTGACATTACTGAGAATAAATTTTGTTTGTGTTTTAAACTCTTGCTTTTAACGCAGTCTTTGTGCCACAACCAGCGTTGCTCATTGCGCTAAAAGAATCTACATTTGAAGTTTACGAGCTTTTGCGGGCTGTTTAGTGGAATGATACGTCAGTCCTTGGTATGAGCCCGACCATTTCTTCCCAACGAACGGGATCAGTGGCCCTTTTCATTCAGGCGAGTCAAACCGGCACAATTCATGGAAAATTTTGAGGCCTACTCAACGAAAGAATGGCCATCGTAGGGCATTCTGTTGACATACGTTTAGTATTATATAGTACTTATAATAACAATTCAGATCCAACCAGTGATGTGTAACTGCAAAACACGTTATTCGCGGCCTGATTGGAGTCACTGTTACGCATAGCAATGAGTGTCGGAGCGTTTCTCCTGAGAGGAGCTTTGGCGCCAGAGTGGGCGAAAAGTGAACTAGGCCAGGGACGCCAACATGCCACACCCGCTTTTTTACACAGCGACCATGCCTTAGGCATTCATGACGACGACAAACATATGTTTAATATTAATCAATAAATAATAATGGATATTAGTCATTCCAATGAAGATGTCCACATAGATGCTTTGAGAAAAAACGGTGCCTAAATTTCGCTGTCAAAGACGTATTGAAATTGTATGAGCTCTCCTATATCAGTGTACGTATCCACTCAACTTCTGTCAAGAGGCGTTTTACTTCCATGTTACCCAGATTTCCAAGATTAAGAGATCAATTATATTGTATGCATTTTCTAGCAGCTCCTTTTCCAAATAATTTTGCTGATAGACTGGAAGGTCGGTGATGTTGCATCGATACAAAAGTTTTGCAATAAACACTCTGGCCTTAACTGTCGGTCAACCTCACTATTCAACATTCACTGTTGGCTAAGGCAACATGTACTACACTCACATAGGCTGAAGTTTTATAATTCAATTAGGTTTTTTGCATCAGCCCAGCCAAGACTCAGGTTAACGTTTTCTTATGAACCTCAGTCGCTACATTTAATTCATCATATCTACACTATTTTTGATGAACAATCTCGGATTAACTCTATCTTTTTGGAT